GATATCGTCCTCTTTTGGAAGGCCAAACAAAGTAGTTTCGCTTTCATAACGAAACACACAGCGTCTTCACGACATGGTGGCAGCGGAAGCAACAATATTACAGCGAGAATAAAAGTTACGCCTTCTTTCTTTGCGTGAACATTTGGGCGGCGTTATGCAAATCTTCCCACATCGTGACGTAGACATGTGGGGGCGTGTTAGAACGAGCTGTTTTAGGTAGGTGTGGCTGACTCTTTACTTTTATAAAGAATATCTCTTTGGATTTGAGACTTTAGTCTTTGCAACTTTACAGATCTTCTTTATGCACCAAGAGCTTGTAACACTTCAAAGAGAAAGGAAAAATTGAAATCGCATCATATGACCCCTTTAAATTGTTACTTTGCAGACTGTCTGTGACTCGAGACTGGTTTCTTACTAGCCATGTCTGAGAGATCTTGTATCTTGATTTAAAATTATGAAGAATTAAAAATAAAAAGTGTATAGACATAAAAAAAACTACTGAAAATAACAAAAACAACAAAATTACTAAAGCTTTAAAATTAAAATGAAAATGGAAAATACAAAAAATAAAAATGGATTCAAAATAATAATAAAAAACTCTAGTAATATTTCAATAATATTAAAATAACACTGTTCTTGAGCAGCAAATCAGCATATTAGAATGATTTCTGAAGGATCATGTGACACTGAAGTCTGGACAGCTTTGCATCACAGAAATAAATTACATTTGAAAATATATTCAAATAGATAGTTATTCGAATTTGTAGTAATATTTCACAATATTGCTGTTTTTTCTGCGTTTTCAATCAATCTTTAATCAGTTTTTAATCAGCCTTGGTGAGAAGGACTTTTTTTTTTTTTAAACATTAAAAAATCTTACTGACCCCAAACTTTAGATTTTTTATATTATTTTATTAAATTAATGTTTTTTTGTGTAGTTATATAAATTAATAATATTAACTGTATTGAAGGGATAGTTCACCCAAAAATGAAAATTACCCCATGATTTACTCACCTTCAAGCCATCCTAGGTGTATATGACTTTCTTCTTTCAGACGAATACAAGCGGAGTTATATTAAAAAATGTCCTGGCTCTTCCAAGCTTTATAATGGCAGTGAATGGGTGTTGAGATTTTGAAGCCCAATAAAGTGCATTCATCCATCATAAGAAGTATTCCACACAGCTCCGGTGGGTTAATAAAGGTCTTCTGAACTGTGAAGTGATGTGTTTGTGTAAGAAAAATATCCATATTTAAAACTTCATAAACCGTAATCTCTAGCTTCCGCTAACTGTCGTACGTGCGCTCACGAGAGAGTGGTGTTCCAGCGGATGACGTAGGCATAGCGTAAGCTGAAAGAAGAAAGTCATATACACCTAGGATGGCTTGAGGGTGAGTAAATCATGGGGTAATTTTCATTTTTGGGGTAACTATCCCTCTAATTAAAATGAATAAAATGCATGTTTATTTTTATTTATTTAATATAAAATAATATAATGTTTAATATTACATGAATTACATTCTATTTATAAAATAAGTCGTTTGAATTAATTCAGGTTACTGTGAAGTAAAGTCGTTCCACCGCTTTGTTTCCACAGAGAATAAACACCTGCTGCCTGCAGACAGGAAGCCTGGTGAGGAAACAGAGAGCCTTGTGGGTAAGCAGGTGGAGTATGTGACGGATAAAGGCGTGAAGAGAACAGGCCTCGTCATCTACCAAGTTCCCGCCAAGCCGTCTGTCTACTACATCAAATTCAAGCCATCCTAGGTGTATATGACTTTCTTCTTTCAGACGAATACAAGCGGAGTTATATTAAAAAATGTCCTGGCTCTTCCAAGCTTTATAATGGCAGTGAATGGGTGTTGAGATTTTGAAGCCCAATAAAGTGCATTCATCCATCATAAGAAGTATTCCACACAGCTCCGGTGGGTTAATAAAGGTCTTCTGAACTGTGAAGTGATGTGTTTGTGTAAGAAAAATATCCATATTTAAAACTTCATAAACCGTAATCTCTAGCTTCCGCTAACTGTCGTACGTGCGCTCACGAGAGAGTGGTGTTCCAGCGGATGACGTAGGCATAGCGTAAGCTGAAAGAAGAAAGTCATATACACCTAGGATGGCTTGAGGGTGAGTAAATCATGGGGTAATTTTCATTTTTGGGGTAACTATCCCTCTAATTAAAATGAATAAAATGCATGTTTATTTTTATTTATTTAATATAAAATAATATAATGTTTAATATTACATGAATTACATTCTATTTATAAAATAAGTCGTTTTTAATTAATTCAGTTTACTGTGAAGTAAAGTCGTTCCACCCCTTTGTTTCCACAGAGAATAAACACCTGCTGCCTGCAGACAGGAAGCCTGGTGAGGAAACAGAGAGCCTTGTGGGTAAGCAGGTGGAGTATGTGACGGATAAAGGCGTGAAGAGAACAGGCCTCGTCATCTACCAAGTTCCCGCCAAGCCGTCTGTCTACTACATCAAATATGATGACGATTTCCACATCCACGTGTACGACCTGGTCAAGACCACCTAAAAAAACAGACAAAACAAAGAAACCCGAAACAAACCCACACTGCTACACCTCCTCATAGCTTAAGCATCATCACCTCTCATTGTACAGTCTGCCATGCCTCGCTGTGAGGGGTTGGCCGCTGAGGTGTTGTATGAAGCGTCCGTGTACAGGGTTTATTTTGTGTTGATGTCACAGCTTAGGGAGACGATTTTTACAATTGTCATATCAAAACATTGTATTTATACGTGTGCGTTGGGCATCATTTGGTATGTTTATAATCCCATGGAATAGCTTCCATTCACCCGTAAACCCCGCAAAAGGTTGCATTTTCATATGTACGAATGTTCAAGGAGTTTCTTGGTTTTGAATTGTAAATAGTTCTGACCGCAGGTCCAAAAAAAAGTTGCGTCAGAGAGACATTTGATTACAAATCAAACAGTGAGACTCTTTAACTGACTTATTTATTGAATTAATACGCTTCGTAACCCAGAAATGCTGTTGAAACCTTTTGAGTTGGCGTTATGCGATGCATATTTTGGCTCTTTTAGTTGCGTTTTCCCTCACATCTGCAATGAAACAAAAGTGTTTCAGCTTTCCGCCATCTTCAAAAGGTGGTTAATGATTTTAAAAGCGAGAATCCGGTCAGTAAAGGCACCATGCTAGGACTCCATCTTATTTTGAACAGATATAGCATAGAGGAAGCACGATTGGCGGTTTTTGAAATGGTTTTCTATAAAGATTTATCCTCAGAGGAATATTGAATACAGAAGTCCAGACACTGAGCGACATGAGTGTCATTGAAGAGGGTCGCCCGTTTTGTCCTGTCTGAGATCATTTGTGCTTTATTATTTTGTTCTAAACACCAAACCAACCAGCTGCGATTTTGAATGTCAAGCATAGTCTCCTTTTGATTGTAGTAAAGATGACCAATGCGATTTTAATTGCTCAACAATATCTATCATTTATTGGAAAAAGAAGAGTTTTTGTTATGTAGCCCAGTTGATTTGAAGTTTAGTAGGCCTCGGTTTAAAAAAACACAAATCCAATCCAGCAGGCTGGATAGACCTGTTAGTCAGTGTCATTGAAGAGGGTCGCCCGTTTTGTCCTGTCTGAGATCATTTGTGCTTTATTATTTTGTTCTAAACACCAAACCAACCAGCTGCGATTTTGAATGTCAAGCATAGTCTCCTTTTGATTGTAGTAAAGATGACCAATGCGATTTTAATTGCTCAACAATATCTATCATTTATTGGAAAAAGAAGAGTTTTTGTTATATAGCCCAGTTGATTTGAAGTTTAGTAGGCCTCGGTTTAAAAAAACACTAATCCAATCCAGCAGGCTGGATAGACCTGTTAGTCCACAACAAACATCATAACGTCTTTGTTGCTTTACTGTGAAATAAATTGGTCTTAATTTTTTTTTTAATTTGATCAAATTCACTATAATAACGCTCATGTTTTTGTTCCAGCTGATCTAAGCAGAGTTTCCCATTGTGCATACAGCACAAGATCAAGCTTCATCGTCACTGCCCTTTAAAGTAATAAAACTATTCTTGCATGGCTTGACGTTTTGTTGTAAATAATGCACATGAGCGTGATAATTGGCCATCTGTTCATGTAGCTAATTAGGCCTTTTTTGCTTGTAGCATTTGCACTTTATTCTTAGGTTGTCGTGTGTAGCTCCAAAGTGTCTCGCAGGAAGTCAAAGATTAAAAACACAGTCTGAAATTAATTGAGTTAATTTCAGCTACAAAAAAGTGTCTTGCCTGATTGGCATCACTAAAATGAAATATATAGGAAAGCATCAAAATAATTTGAACTGAACTGAAATTGTATTCTTTTGTTTTGAATATGACCATAGATTTCCAAGAAACTTTATATATATATATTATTAGAATATATTATAAACCCAGTCCCATATTTACTTTTTTTTTTTGCTAATTCATTTCATCACACAACATTTATCAACTACTTACAATTGACTTGTATATAAATGGATTTGGTTATGTAAATGTAATGCATACAGATGGGGATTTCATATGTAAATATTGGATGTTCAGCTCTGCTCTCTGATTGGGTGTATTTGCTGAACTTTTCCTGCTGTGCTTTGCATGTCTGTCTCGGACAGAGCGACAGTTTTGGAATTCCTCCTGTACATTAGCGCTTCACACAGATTCATCAGTTGTTTATTGTGAAGTTATATTCTAGTTAGATATTCAGTGTCATTATCAAAAACGCATTGCGGGTTTAATTTATTTTTTGGAAAAGATAAATTGTTTGTTTCTCCTGACACAGTAAATCTTTTGGGTAACGCAATTTGGGATTACAGGAAAGTATTGTTCAGTGAAATGCACATTTCTGTAAATGAATTGTTCTACTTTCAGCTGTGCATATGGATTGAGTTTCTGGTCCGTTTGCCATCACATCAGGTGGATCGTTCTCTGTATATTCTCCGTTGTGCTTTAAAAACACTTGTACTGTATTTCTGCTTTCCCTGAGGACAAAAGGTTTGATGATTTCAAGCCGTTTGAAATGTTCAAGGTTTCATGACCCTCAGCAGGCTTCTGTGGTTTTTCTTTCTCCTAACTGTGAACGAGTAATTCTCTCTGGCTTCTTTGTAAATGTGTTTAATCGTGTGGTCTGCGAGCTTCTGCCGGTTTCTTTGGTTCCTCAATTTCCTAATTTTTTTTTTGCTGCTTTTTACCAAAGTTATGTTTCAGTAGGTGACGTTGAGGAGTGTCAAACTATTCATCCTGACTGTTTGTGTAATGATGTTATCGTAAATAATAAGAGATATTTTTTGCACTGAAATTTGTTCTCATGGTACTTTTTTTCTATTTATGGACTTTTTAGTCACACATAAGATGCACATAATGTAAAAACAGTTTAATGACAGTATAGGGATGGGAATCTAAATAAACTATTTAAAAAATATCAGTAATAAATAAATAGATTTTTTAATGATTTGCCAAAGCAAAATTGTGTTCTAAATGTTTATATTCATTGTCATACGAACAAATACCTATGAGATTCACTAACTCAGAATAATCTGTGCTGAATATGTATGAATGTTTCAGCCATTTAAAGCAACTGTTTCGGCCACAGAATAGAAAAAAATTATATTATAAAAAAAAAATAATACAACTGTTATTTAGAAATGTAAGAACATAATTGTGAAATGCAGGGCCGGCCCAAGCCTTTATGGGGCCCTACGCAGAATTTTATTTGGGGGCCCCTCGGAGCCGCCAATACGACTGATTATTGTCAATGCGAAATAAATTGGTCTTAATTTTTTTTTTAATTTGATCAAATTCACTATAATAACGCTCATGTTTTTGTTCCAGCTGATCTAAGCAGAGTTTCCCATTGTGCATACAGCACAAGATCAAGCTTCATCGTCACTGCCCTTTAAAGTAATAAAACTATTCTTGCATGGCTTGACGTTTTGTTGTAAATAATGCACATGAGCGTGATAATTGGCCATCTGTTCATGTAGCTAATTAGGCCTTTTTTGCTTGTAGCATTTGCACTTTATTCTTAGGTTGTCGTGTGTAGCTCCAAAGTGTCTCGCAGGAAGTCAAAGATTAAAAACACAGTCTGAAATTAATTGAGTTAATTTCAGCTACAAAAAAGTGTCTTGCCTGATTGGCATCACTAAAATGAAATATATAGGAAAGCATCAAAATAATTTGAACTGAACTGAAATTGTATTCTTTTGTTTTGAATATGACCATAGATTTCCAAGAAACTTTATATATATATATTATTAGAATATATTATAAACCCAGTCCCATATTTACTTTTTTTTTTTGCTAATTCATTTCATCACACAACATTTATCAACTACTTACAATTGACTTGTATATAAATGGATTTGGTTATGTAAATGTAATGCATACAGATGGGGATTTCATATGTAAATATTGGATGTTCAGCTCTGCTCTCTGATTGGGTGTATTTGCTGAACTTTTCCTGCTGTGCTTTGCATGTCTGTCTCGGACAGAGCGACAGTTTTGGAATTCCTCCTGTACATTAGCGCTTCACACAGATTCATCAGTTGTTTATTGTGAAGTTATATTCTAGTTAGATATTCAGTGTCATTATCAAAAACGCATTGCGGGTTTAATTTATTTTTTGGAAAAGATAAATTGTTTGTTTCTCCTGACACAGTAAATCTTTTGGGTAACGCAATTTGGGATTACAGGAAAGTATTGTTCAGTGAAATGCACATTTCTGTAAATGAATTGTTCTACTTTCAGCTGTGCATATGGATTGAGTTTCTGGTCCGTTTGCCATCACATCAGGTGGATCGTTCTCTGTATATTCTCCGTTGTGCTTTAAAAACACTTGTACTGTATTTCTGCTTTCCCTGAGGACAAAAGGTTTGATGATTTCAAGCCGTTTGAAATGTTCAAGGTTTCATGACCCTCAGCAGGCTTCTGTGGTTTTTCTTTCTCCTAACTGTGAACGAGTAATTCTCTCTGGCTTCTTTGTAAATGTGTTTAATCGTGTGGTCTGCGAGCTTCTGCCGGTTTCTTTGGTTCCTCAATTTCCTAATTTTTTTTTTGCTGCTTTTTACCAAAGTTATGTTTCAGTAGGTGACGTTGAGGAGTGTCAAACTATTCATCCTGACTGTTTGTGTAATGATGTTATCGTAAATAATAAGAGATATTTTTTGCACTGAAATTTGTTCTCATGGTACTTTTTTTCTATTTATGGACTTTTTAGTCACACATAAGATGCACATAATGTAAAAACAGTTTAATGACAGTATAGGGATGGGAATCTAAATAAACTATTTAAAAAATATCAGTAATAAATAAATAGATTTTTTAATGATTTGCCAAAGCAAAATTGTGTTCTAAATGTTTATATTCATTGTCATACGAACAAATACCTATGAGATTCACTAACTCAGAATAATCTGTGCTGAATATGTATGAATGTTTCAGCCATTTAAAGCAACTGTTTCGGCCACAGAATAGAAAAAAATTATATTATAAAAAAAAAATAATACAACTGTTATTTAGAAATGTAAGAACATAATTGTGAAATGCAGGGCCGGCCCAAGCCTTTATGGGGCCCTACGCAGAATTTTATTTGGGGGCCCCTCGGAGCCGCCAATACGACTGATTATTGTCAATGCTTGATTATTCGCACACTATAAATCTCACACCCATTATCAATTGTATTTGTTGTAGCTGTGTTGCATACATCATACCAACGTCTGCCTGACATGTTTTTACCCTTCTACGATTTTTAATTGTAACAGTAGCAAACCCACAAGAGTGGTCAGGTGTTAATTTAAAATACAGTACTAAGGGGCCTACTTAATGTGGTGTACTGAAAAGTAGCTAAATAAACCAGCAGACAATGCATTTATGGAACAGAATGTTATTTTAACAACATAAATTATTAAACAGCATCAAGTAATCTGTACACCTAAAAAAACAACTCTTAATCTGTAACTAGCAAATTGAGGCATAATGATATTGGAATATAATAGCAAAGACCCTATAAGCTAATGTAAATAATGTTAAGCTGTTATCAGTTCCAAGTTTATGAAACAGAAGCTTATTTTTCATTACAAAAATATATATCCAAGAAAGTTTTGCACAGCTAGTTTTAGATTAAAGTTTTCGTCTTCTAAGTAAAATGTTACATTATGATCGATTTTAACCCTTTGACGCAATGCGCGATCCAGAGAAAGATGCGCTCAGTATCACAACTGTTCGGTGTTTTCAACCACATAAAGTTTATTTTAGGTTTCAGACATTTAAATAGACATTTCATGTAAGTACTAGCAAAAAAATACATTTATAGTTTGTTAAAAACACTTATTTCTATGAAAAGCGGCAATAATAATCCCTGTTTTATTCCTATCAAATACACATTGTGTTGGTAACTATGAAGTCTACTCTGTTTTTCTCCTAGTTCACTGGCCACTTACTTTACTGTATTTTGGGAGAAATGGGTGAATTTACGTGATGTTAATCCGACAGATCTATTATAGTGTCCAGCGCGCATTATAGATCA